GTATGCCAAAAAATCCTTCATACACTTCAGGATCACACATTTCTGGCCACTCTCAACGGTTCAGAGCTATACAACAGAGACGGGCACACATACATGTACTTACGTACAGACGCAGACACAGACAGACGCAGACACAGACACACATACAAATATAAGCCAAAACAAATTATACAGACAAATAAGCCGAAAGGTACAACAAATTCACAGAAATTATAGACCAGGCTTTATGCAACAGTAAACTAGCCCCGCTGAGGCATCCTGACAAAAGAAGAAGCCAGCGCCTTCCTGCCACTCGCGCACTTGGAAGGAACACAAAGCAAGCTATTCGCCATGTGTTTTACTAATATTCGGCACAATTCAGCAGCACCCAGTGCTAATTTTTATTTTTTAGCCAAATTCAGAAATTAAATTTTATACTCATAAAATTGGAATAAACGCAATTATGCTAGTGTGTATTTGAAAGACACAAGTGCTGTGAGGGATATCTAAGTTTCGCTGGCTGCGATTACATGTGAGCACGTCGATCACACACACATCACAAATGCAGAATGACCGACCGAAGAAAAAAAAGCGGCATAAAGAGGACCTGGAGAGAGCAGAAGCAGCTGAATTCGGAGAAGTGAGCCCGGGAAGGCGCAGCCTCCTCCAGCACTGCGCTTCACTCCTGCAAATACACCAGAGCTGAAATCCACCTAAACCGCCCTCAAATCGTCACCTAGTGCCTGATATTTCACATTTCGAACATTTCATTCACTACTTTCTATTTTCTTATTGCACAGGCTGTACCCTCGCCAGTGCTGCTCCCCAGAAACCACGTCTTCCCTTTCCTCCTCATTCCGCCCTTCTGATATTTAAGATAACTGCTTTTACGCCATGTTACAGGATAACTAATACGCGTACTCAGTCCTGGACAGATATTCTCACCAGACGAAACAAGCCGCAGTGCTCTGTGCTAGCAAATCGGGCAGAACACAGCAGTATCGAGCCAGACAGCACTTGCAGTACAGACGGTGAATCCCCATTTGACACCTCAACCGACTGAGGCTAGTTCGGGTATTTCAGCAGCTTTGTCGTCGCAAAGCAAGACGGGACAGCCGGTTTCTTCCTGCAC